AATGGGGATAATTGGATGGCTGTCTGGTATTTCTGATGGTAATTTACTTATAAAAATCATGTTTGTTAATGTATATGTGGTATACAATGGGTAAATAGTGTCTTATGGTCTTCATTTTATTTGGTATGTAAGTTTTATATCTTGAACAAGTTACACCAAGAGGAGAAACCATCATTCCCTTAATTTTTCGGGAGGTCCCACGAATTGGACAGTGGAGTGACAGCGATATCAGTAAACGAATGAGTGTTATCTTGGAGTTAGGAGGCTTCAATCTCGATGAGGTATAAATATTGTTATTTTTTTTATATGCACTGTTGTATGATAGTGTCTTGCATATTATTTGATGCCCATAATTTTTATCATTGGTTTTATGTATGCAGTTGGATGTATTTGTTGAGGAGGAGTTAATTGATGATGCACTTGGTACCGCAACCCAGCAAGTAGTGTCTGGAGTATATAAATATATCATGTAGAATGTATATATTTCCCAAAATGTTATATAGAATATCATGGCGAATACTGCTTTTACTATGCTTGGTTATATATATATTTTTTTTGAAACTTGTGGCTACAAATAATTAACCGTACTATCAATTATTATGTATATTGGTTCATAGGATTTGCGTGTCAGAATTGGAAGACTTGAGGTTGTTGCTGAGCACATAAAAAAAAAGTTTGATACTTTAGCATCACACTGCACAACATCTATGTCTATGATTGAGAAAAGACTTGGTGAGATTGGACATATGTCCCAATTTGTTGATAAATCGGTGAAAGCGAAGGAGGTGCCACATGACATGGGGGGAAATAACGAGGAAGATGAAATTGATCTCACGAATGTGTGTATATTATCTGTTTCAGTAGTGAAACATTATATGTGTTGTTAAATGTATTACCACATCTCTTACTGACAACTTTTTGACGTGAACTAAAAAATGAGAAATTTATATTTTAGGTTGAATTGGATGATCCACAAGCCACAGAGGGACACCACCCAGATGAAGTATGATTTATTGTGTTTTGTATTAAAAATTCAACATGAGTTTTCAAGTGAGTGGCACTTTGAACACCTTATAAGATAAATTGCGTTGTAGATGGCAGATGTGGTGTTCCCACGATTAACCCATATCAATGCTGATGTGGAGCGCGTCATCTACAATTACATATATGACAAAAACTTGTCATTTGAGTATGTGTTGGTGTACCCTATATTTGACGCTATAACTTATGCTTAACAACTGCTAATTCACGTGTCATTTTTCAAAGCAACAACACAAAAAATAATGTTTTTTGTCTACGTATAGTGAGCTTATGATATCATTTGGTGATCATGATCAAGGCATGAGGGAAGTGTTACAGACCTTTGTCCCGCACCAATGGCTGAGTGTGCGTGAATGTTAATTTTGTTGATTTTATTGTTCTGACATTATGAGAATGAAACTAAATTATCGTGTCAAAAATGTACTAGGTAATTGATATGTGTGCATGCATCGCTCCACAAATGGGTTGATAGTACTTACCTATCTTCTTCTCTGTAAGTAAATGTTTTCATTTCTCAAAATTCTTAGTTGCATTATGCAATAAATAGTTCGTTTTATGTGGCAAACAAATTAATGCGTATCACTTGATGAATTTATGCAACAACAAGCCATTTCAAGTACCATCACCTGCAGTCAGGGTGCAGGGGAACTCAAAAAAAAGCAAAAGTTTACTCGCCTCCCACTCCCTAATTTTTCAACAACTACAAATGTAGTACATATTAGAAAATTCGTTTTCTAGTTAATCCAAATTTTTAATAGTGAGATAACACCCTCTTTTAAAGATTCAATAGTTATATTTTATCCTCTTTTAAATTTGGGTTTCTCTTCATTTAAATTTAGATTTCTCTTCATTTAAATTTGAATTTCTCCATTAGAGAGGTCTATAAAAATTAGAGGTGTCAGCTCTAACCCGATGATACGAACGATTAAAAAATTGGCACGATTATTAAATATGCATAATAAATAGTATAGATTAACGTTTAATACTCATAATACATTAAATATATATATATATATTTTTTCATAAATCTTGACACGAACACGACACGAATAACACTACATGCAGGTCACACGAACACGACAAGATTGACACTCTTAAAAAAAATCAAGTTTTTTTGCCTTTTTTTTCACTCAAATTTGAGTAAGGGTTCGAGTTTCTATTGGAGATGGTCTAATATGAAGAAAAAATAAAGTCTAGGGATTAAATTGAAACTAGTGCTAAAGTTTAGGAATCTCAGTGAACTTTGCCCTTTTAAGTCCTAGTTGCTCCATATTCAAAACCGGTTCTGGGTAACGGTTGTATTTTCGAAAGTAAGGTTCGGATGCGCACACCGCCTTCTGCCACTTCGCTTCAGAAAGCCGTTATATTTCCGAACCTGAACCATCTATATTCCTTGCCTTCCTCTATCATCTGGCTTTTCACTTTCTTTTTCTCTTCGTTTCTTTCGTTCTTGTTTCTCATCTTTTTTTCGTTCGTTATTCTTTGCCAGCGACGTTTACATATAGAGAGAGAGAGAGAGAGTTACGGAGAGAAAGATAAGGGCTTTGCTTGAATCTTCTTCAATACGAGTGTTTGATCTTCTTTATTAAAACAGTTCACAGTTGTTACTTGCATTTATAGGTGCCTTCCAACATCCTATTATTTTGTGTGGTAGTCTTGACAAACTACAAACCCTAGAAGGCTAGGACACCTCGTTGTTGTCTGGATCTTTTGTTCTTTTTTTAGGTAAATCATAGAGACACATATGCCCATGTTTTAGACTGCACATCTGTTTATCTTCTTTATGCAATTTATTGTATTTGGACCTTATTTATTGACTACCCAGTTGGGTTCTTCAGGTTATACAAGGGTTTTGTCGGAAGAACTTGATAGTATGAAAGGGGACAGAATGGCTAAAAGGTGTTCTTTTGGAGGCATAGTTAAGAGAAGGCACCAACAATAGAGACTGAACAGAAGATAAAGAAAGAAGTAAAAGAGAAGCCACAAAAGGATCCCACCTCCAGAGATGATACACCATGGTATGAGACTGAAAATGCTTTACAGATGAAAGCGTGATGGCCCCTGGATCCCCCAATTATTATCAATAACTTAGAGAAAATAACGGTACTTATATTACTCATGAGTAATACACAGAACTTCAAGATGAAATTAGGATGATCGTTTTACAAGTTTATTTTCTTGTGGTGATTTTACAACAAAAACAAAAAGTGAGACAAAGATAAGAAATTGTAGGGCCTTTGCCCGACGTAATGAGCGACCAAGCATTGCTTATCATGTTCGCCACTGCCTTTGCTTTGTGCCCAGGAAATGGATTAGCATCCACATTACCTTGAAGATTAAGTTCTCCTCACCATATTTTCTTGTCAAAATGATGTTTTCAGGAAGTGGGTGTTCAATTTTCGGAATGGAATCCTTATACATTTAGAACTATGCCTCCACTCAGATAAAGAAATACTTTTTTCTCTTTCGCCAAACAGTGCCTATCATAGGACCAAACTGGGTGTATTCACATGATTGATAATACATGACTATTATTTTTTTCTCTTAAAAAGATCGTATATTTGCAGCAAAGGAAAACTGTTTTTCTTGGTGTGGGTGGGTGTGGTGATTCTCATAACTAGTTGCTTTACACTTCCTAGACAGTTAAGTTCAACCTTGCTTAATAGAGAATTATCCTAATTATTTGAGATTAGCTTCATGATTGTTGATCTATCGTTGTGCCCAGCGACAGAGCTAGAATTTTTATCTTGAAAGAGGTTGAACAGTGTTGTAGTCAATTTTTTTTTTCAATAGAACCATTCGATGAGCTATCGTTAGCGTCAAATTTTTGATTGTATAGAAATTTGAAAATAACTTTAACACAATGAATTATAATATTAGTTACTCTTCAAAAAATCAAAACATTAATTAAAATTTAACAAACCAATTCCATAAAAGACAATTTCAGATTCATTCATAAAAAATAAAAGTTTTAGTTTGATTTTATTATATGATCACTTGGTACAATTAAATTTTACTATGTCAATACAACATGTAAAAATCCGAACAAAATAAGATAGAGTGTATGAATATCTATGAAATAAATATTCTATGCAAAATTGGATCATACATAAAAAGTTTGAAGAAATTACACTTTGTCTACTTAAATTATTACCCTAGTTTCATATTTTTCTTTTGATTATTTAATTGAAGTCGTTGTACCATTTACCAATCAAATTGGTAACTTTTTGCACTAATTTATATATTTTAATTTTTCTCAAAATGTTACATTTTGTACTAAAACAGTTCACGACATTAGTTTGACAACAGTTGAGGGGTAAAGCAAAACCAAGATCACAATTTAAGGATGAAAAACATAACTTTGATAACTTGAGGGGCCATGTAAAGTTAAAAAAAAAGAATATAATTTTTGGATTGACGTATAATTTTTTAAATTAAGAGGAGGACTAATTTTAGAGGTATAAAGTATAATTTTATAAAGTCCCCCCCCCCCCCCCCCCCAGGCCAAAGCTTGGCTCAGCCACTGATTGTGCTCTATTTTAATGTAATATTTTCTATTACATCACAAGCAAACTATCATATTATTTTTTATTATCAAAATCAATTTTAGTTTACCCCACTCACGCATTGTCATCAGTAGATTTTGCATTACTCTTTTCACTGGTACAATAATAAGACTTCTATAAACATGTCCAAAATATTTCAGTCAGTTCTCTTCAAATACGGGGGTCATAATACGATAATGATTATGTACTCAATCTACTCCACTCATACTCCAATAATGGTCCCTAAAGTGGGTGATATTCTTATAGCCATTACCTTTGGCTTTTTATGAATGTGTTCATTCACAATTATAACTTTTCTAGTCTACCACACATCCATTAACATCTGCATTTATGCCAATGTTAATCGTTTCTTAGCTTTCCACTATTTTGTAGCATATTGTACTTATTAAGATAATGTTTTTGTTAACAAAGCTGTTGGTTAATGCTTTCTTACCACGTTCACAGTCACCCCACAATTCAAAAATATCAAAAAGCTCTGTTTTTCAGGTAAAGGATGCCACTCCAAGCTCATTGCTTTCGTATGCTCCCTGCATTATTTCAATGAGAATTTGATGTTTTGTTCTCCACAATTTATTCCAAACCTCCCAAGTCCCAGGTAGCCACTAGCTGCTGCAACCATCCTCTAGCACTAAAACCAGTTAGTCCCAACAGCTCCACCAAGGCACCAATGACAAGGGACACCACCATTGGTGGTGGTTGTGGCGCTGGTGGTCGAGGCCATGAGGCTTTAGGCTTTGCAATACACGTGGTTCGAGGACGGTGGATCACAATTTTCTCCTCCTTTTTGGTCATGGTAGGAGCAGGTGGAACTTATGTTTTTGGAATATACTCCGAAGAAATAAAAGCCTCTCTGGGTTATGATCAAAGCACTCTCAATCTCGTAGGCTTCTTCAAAGGTCTTGGTACAAATGTTGGGGTCGTCTCTGGCCTTATTGCTGAGGTAACACCAACATGGTGTCTCTTGTTAATTGGCTCTGCCATGAACTTTGGTGGCTTCTTTATGATATGGCTTGCTGTCACTGGCAAAACTGCCAGCCCAAAAGTCTGGCAGATGTGTTTGTACATATTCATTGGAGCCAATTCTCAGAACTTTGCAAACACAGGAGTTCTTGTCACTTGTGTCAGAAACTTCCCAGAGAATCGAGGCGTGTTGTTGGGCCTTTTAAAGGGCTTCGCAGGGTTAGGTGCAGCAATCATGACCCAAATTTACTTGGCAATTTATGGAAATGATGCTACATCTCTTATCCTTCTTGTTGGATGGCTTCCTGCTGCAATATCAGTTGTATCTTTATATACAATACGGGAGATGAGGGTTGTTAAGCTACCTAATGAGCTCAGAGTCTTTTATCATTTCCTTTTTGTATCAATTGTGCTAGCTTTGTTCCTGATGGCTATGACCATAACTCAGAAATTGGTAGCTTTCTCTTGGGCGGCCTATGCTGGAAGTGCCACTGTGATTTGTGCCTTGCTTGTTGTCCCACTTTTTGTTGCCATTAAAGAAGAATTAGTCCTTTGGAACCAAAAAAGATATCCCAGTAATCCCACTGCAATAACCATTGAAAACCTTTCTGCAATAGAACGAAAACCAGAAGTGTCCGAGCTGTCCTCTCCTACCAAGGTAGATGATACGCCAAAAACATCCTGGTTTGCTAGTATAGTCAATAAACCCAAAAGAGGAGAAGATTACTCAATCCTACAAGCACTTCTTAGCATGGACATGTTAATTCTGTTCATCGCATCTATGTGTGGAATTGGATCAAGCTTAACTGTCGTAGACAATTTGGGTCAGATTGGAGAGTCACTGGGATATCCAACAAAAACCATAAAATGCTTTGTATCGCTAGTAAGCATATGGAATTACTTTGGGAGGATCTTTGCTGGTTTTTTCTCTGAAAACCTACTACATAAATACAAATTCCCCCGGCCTCTTATGACAACGTTGGTCCTTTTTCTGTCATGCATCGGTCACCTACTCATCGCTTTTCCAGTCCCCGGTTCAGTTTACGTGGCGTCAGTGATAATTGGATTCTCATTTGGTGCACAAGTCCCTCTTATGGACGCGATTGTATCCGAGCTTTTTGGCCTAAAGCACTACTCTACGTTGTTCAATTGTGGGCAATTGGTTACTCCCCTTGCTTCATACATACTAAATGTGAAGGTCACTGGACTTCTTTATGATCAAGAAGCATTGAAGGAGCTTGCAAGGAAGGGAAGGCAGAGATCATTGAAGAAACAATTGACTTGTATAGGAACTCATTGTTACAGGCTATCTTCTATAATTTTGGCAGGTGTTACATGCTTTGGAGCTCTTGCTTCCTTGATTTTGGTGGCGAGGACTCGGGAATTTTACAAAGGAGATATATATAAGAAGTTCAAGGAGAAAGCAGAAGCCGATGAGATGGAGATGGATTCGCCATCGGAGGGTGGCGTTAGGACAAATCACGAGGAGAAAAGCCAGAGAAAATGAAGATGAAACAGGGTTTCCGGTATCTTTTTCTTGGAGTCTTTACTTTTATTTAATATATAAGAAGAGCACTTCCAAAATGTTAACCAGAAACAAGTAATGGAGGTAAATCTTAGACTATTATGTAATATCTTGTAGTTCTCTGTTATGATCAAGAGCCTCCCCGCTCCCCGGATACATGTCAAAGGTGGACTGGCATTCATAAAGTTTGGGAAAATGATATGGCACCATTTCTCTGCTAGTCTTTGCAACACACTTTGTCATTTTTGATGGGTTGCAGATGATTTGATCACTTATTGTACCGGGGGCCGGGGGTACTTCATGGTCCCTGCATGTGCTCTGTTTCTGTACAGGGTTTAAGCTTCATTGTTTTAAAAACATACCCTCCAACAATGTTGCAAAGAGCACAATAAATTTAAAATAAGAAAGAAAAAAAGCATCAGTAGGCTCCTCCTTACTCGTGTACGTAGAGAAGACTCAGCTTCTATTTGGAGTTCTAATAGAAGCTCATTTACTTAGCTTAATCAAACAGGTCATTTATTCGGCTTGATTCAAAAGGAGAATACACTTCCAATTCCTAGTCTACCTATGACAGTGGAATCCGACTCTCCAAAAAGCAGCGGTGATTTACCCCTTTTTTTTCGGCTTTCGACAAATTTTGTTTTTTTTTTTTTTTAGGGGAAACTTTATTCACCCCCTCGTCGTTTACCCTGATTGCACATAACCCCCCTGAGCTCCGAAAATAGCACAGTATCCCCCCATGGTTGTTAGACTAAAATGCACCGTCAACTTTTTCATCCAATTTAATGGTTTGTATACCTCACGCGCCTACTGTACAATTTGGTATAAACGAAGTATGTTAAAAGTTCCAAAATACCCTCAAGCTTTTTGTCCCTTCTCTCTCTTCTTTTAGCAGTCCCTCTCTGATTCTCTCAACTCACAGGTTCTCTGCAAGTTTCACCAACCACAACCTCTCTCTCTCTAACGTATACCATGTCTTGTGGCTAAGTTAATGTCCAACTCATCGGCAAGTGCGATACCTGGGCTTCTCACTTAAAGATCTTGAATGCTTCGACGTCGTCGGCGTCCATGGCTATACTCGATCTTTGCTTCATCAAAGTCTGAAAAATATATCGGCACAGATAAACCGACTTTGAAAAAAAAACACCAGCTGCTAATAGCTAATATTGTTTCTATTGTGTGAGGAATATATCCTTTTTTGCACTATTTAGAAGAACGATAATGGCTATAGCTACCTAATTTGATGAATCTGGTCTTTTTTATTTTCTTGATTCATCTCTCTCGTTTTGCTCATCTCTCACTTCTCTTTTTCTGATTTTGAAATTGAATTTTGACTTTGATTCAGTTAAAATTTTATTTTTTGTTTTGATCGCGATTTTTATTTTTGTTTTTTTTTTAATTTGATTTTTTTTTTTTTGGTGGGTGACGAACAGTGGTTATGGATTATTGGAGTTTTTGTTTTTTTTGGTTGCTGTTGTGGGTGTGTGATGAGTGCTAAAGTTAGCAATAGTTAGGCTGTCAGAGATGAAGAAAATGGTGGGAACATTGACTGGGCTGGTTGTGATGAAGATGATAAATTTGGGGCTATTTTTTTTTTTAATTAAAAATAAAGGGTATTAAGGTCATTATATTTTCCTACTTAACAGAGTTAAATGTTCATTTTTGTCCAACAACTGTATGGGTTATGTGCTATTTTCAGACCTTAGGGAGGTTATGTGCAATCAGGGTTTACCCTGACTTTTATTATAAAAACTGGGTATAGAGATAGGACACTTTACATATTGGTCAAGGAGTATTGTCCCTCGACATCATACAGTTATCTATAAGAGACTTTACCACACTTATGTCAGGGCCGAAATTAATGTCTCACCATATACTTTCAACACTAAAAAGTAAGTTTAACTTTATTAAATTACTATAGTAATAGAGATTCAAACCCAAACCCAAGTATTGAGCGAGAAAATCTGACAAATCATTAACCTACCCTTTGGGATATCAAAAGGCAGTTGAGAAGTAGATTGAAACAGAGTGAGATCCCCTCTAATAAATACTCTCTTCAATTCTCTTTTTTGGCGAATCACCTATCATGCATTCAAGTGGGATCAATTGTATACAAAATTATAAGTGAATCTCTCACTGATTAATGATATGCATTATCCGTCTAGAAGGAAATTGAAAAGAATCCAGATGCAACTAAAACTAATGTCTTGGGCTATATCGAGTTGATTGTTGTGTCTTTATTAGTTTAAGGTAATATGAAGTACCATAAGACTACCTTTGGCCCTTACCTTTTTTTATATGTAAATTTAAATTTGGATAAAAAATAGTCAAAATTATTTCTTCAATGTTAAACTCATACTCATACTAAATGAAGAAAAACCATTTTTTAAACTCAAATTTTTAATAGTGAGATTATACCCTCCTTTAAAGATTCAATAGTTATATTTTATCATCTTTTTAAATTTGGGTTTCTCCATTAGAGAGGTCTATATAAAAATTAAGAGTGTCAGCTCTGATCCGTTGATACGAACCTGACACGAACGATTATAAAATTAACATGATTATTAAATACGCATAATAAATAGTTTAAATTAATGTTTAATACTCATAACACATTAAATAAATTTTTTCTTCACGAGTCTTAACATGAACACGATACGAATAACACGACATCCGGATCACGAATACAACACGATTGACATCCCTAATAAAATCAACCTTTTTTGCCTTTTTTTTACTTAAATTTGAGTAAAAGTTTAAGTTTCTATTGGAGATGGCCTAATATGAAGAGGAAATAAAGTCTAGAGGTTAAATTGAAACTAGTGCTAAAGTTTAGGAACGTCTATGAACTTTACCCTTTTGCTTTTTTAGCTAGTCCTATGTGCTCCATATTCAAAACCGGTTTGGGCAACGGTTGTATATTCGAAAGTAAGGCTCGGAAGCGCACACCGCCTTCTGCCACTTCGCTTCGGAAAGCCGTTATATTTCCGAACCTGTACCTTCTTTATTCTTTGCCTTCTTCTATCATCTGGCTTTTCACTTTCTTTTTCTCTTCGTATCTTTCGTTCTTGTTTCTCATCTTTTTTTCGTTCGTTATTCTTTGCCAGCGACGTTTAGAGAGAGAGAGAGAGTTACGGAGAGAAAGATAAGGGCTTTGCTTGAATCTTCTTCAATACGAGTGTTTGATCTTCTTTATTAAAAACAGTTCGCAGTTGTTACTTGCATTTATAGGTGCCTTCCAACATCCTATTATTTTGTGAGGTAGTCTTGACAAATTACAAACCCTAGAAGGATCACACGAATACCTCGTTGTTGTCTGGATTTTTTGTTCTTTTTTTAGGTAAATCATAGAGACACATATGCCCATGTTTTAGATTGCACATCTGTTTATCTTCTTTATGCAATTTCTTGTATTTGGACCTTATTTCTTGATTACCCAGTTGGGTTCTTGAGGTTATACAAGGGTTTTGTCGGAAGAACTTGATAGTATGAAAGGGGACAGATTGGCTAAAAGGTGTTCTTTTGGAGGCATAGTTAAGAGAAGGCTCTCGGACATTACTAATTCGCTGCCACAACCAAAATCCCCTATCAATGTGGAAAAACCATCGCTGATAGATTCTTCTGCTAAGGACTACATTGACCATCTCATAAAGGTATAATCTTGTTTGGGTCTTCTTTAAGTTGTAGTTTCTATTTTTATTTGGCGTGTTATTATTTTTGCTGAATGAGATTTCTCTGATGTGAATGTTTGAAACAGGAAAACATGGCATTGATGAAACTTATTGCAGACAAAAAGTATCCTTTATTTTATTTGTGTTATGTTATTTTTTTCAAAAAAAAATCTGTTTCTGTTGGGTTTCTTCTTAATTTGTTCTCATAGTAAAATCATAGAATTAAGTGGAATTGAGCTTCAGAAGTTGCGAGTGAGTCTTCAGAAATTGCAGCTGCAGAATTGGAATCTTGCTCAATCAAACGGCCATGTATTAGCGGTTCGTTGCTTTTGCATTGACGTCAAATGTGAACCCACCTCCCCCTTAACTTTTTAGTTTATTGTGACAATTGTGCTGAATGTATTCTTTTTAATTTTGCAGGAACTCAATTTGGGTAGGGAAAAGGTAAGCTCATTTATACACAAACACAGGAAATTAAGTCCATCTGTTAATGAAGTCCTCTTCTCATCATGGATCTACCCTCTGATTAGTTCTTATTGTTCATCCCAGTTAAAATCCCTACAGCATGAGCTTGTGTGCAAGGATGCCTCTCTTAAAGCAAAGAATGTAGAATTTGTGGTAAGCTTGGCTTTTCTATTCCATATATGTGATGCAGACTATAGCATTAGTAAATTATGCTCTTTCTTTTTCTTGTGTGTGGGAGAGAAATAGAGGAGTTTTAGAGGAAGGGATAAATTCTGCAATTTAACATGAATTGACTGGAATGGAAAGGGATTGGATGAAGCATTAACGGAAAGTTTTTTAGGGATTAATTTGAGGATTAATGTTAGTATATTTTCTTTCTTAGAACATAGTGAATTTATTTTCTTAATCTTGGAATTCAGTTTTACGTTTATAATGTTAATTGCTTTATTTGGACCTTTTGAGAAGATTATCTCCTTTTCTTCTTCTTTCTCTTTCAGCTTACAGAAATGTGATGAAAAAATTGGTTTATGGTCTATGGATTAAATAGGATGGGTGAAAATGTTGACAAATTTAAAGATCATATGGAATGGGTTATAAGAAGTCATTTGGGCATCCTTCTATGAAAAAGAAAATAACCACAATCCATATTAGTAGGTTAGATCTTTAGCATAAACAGGTAATGGCAACCATACTCCCAAGTCCTTTGCTTATATGCAAAATAATGGGTGAACAAGAAGACTTCTAGTTTGCGAATGGAGGAAGCACAAACAGACGAGTACAGGATTATATGAATTGATCTAGACAACAGTCGCCTTAAGAGCATTCATTGAGAATCATTTGATGCACCTCCTCTAAATTTTCTCTATTTTCCTCGCTCGTTCATTGAAAGTAATGTCCCAAGACTAGG